TTTTATTCTGCCTACTCCAGAGAGTAAATAGACCATTTTGACTGGAGGGAATGATGAGAGAGAAAATGATAAGAGAGAAAACAGGAAGTGCTGATTACATCCAAATTAGGGGAATTTTGATATGACATTGAGTGAATTTCATTCTGTAGACGAGAAGGAAGATGGTGCAATCTACTTCCGTAGTGATACTGCCTCGGAAACCCAAGGGGAGGGGTTGCTGTGAGTTGGGTCCAACTTGACGGCACATAACAACAACAAGACTAGAAGGAGTCATTATAAATTCTTAACCAGGGAAATGGCTTGTTAGCAGTGTGAAGAAATATGATCTGATTGTGGTGCTTTGAGTGGCTTAGAGGGAAGAACAGAAGCCTTAAAAGATGCAATTGGAGTAGTCCAGGCTTGAAGAGGCAGAGTTTAAAACATGAGGGAAAAGAAAAGATGTAGTGAAAAGTGCTGTGCAAGAAGACTCTGGCAGGAGGTGCTGACCACCAGCACATGGAAAGAAGAGGTAAAATCTAAGGTTGGTCTGAGTTTTGGAAGTTGATTAATGGTATGATCTGGAAAATCAAGAGGACAGATCTATTTCAAAGGAGAATGAGGAGTTGTGGCTTAGTTAGAGACTGCTGGAATAGAGAACAAACAATCTTATCAACACTGAGATGCCATCAACTGTAAAATACACCAGTATTTTATATACAACTAAGAAAAGAATGCCATAATGCTTTCTTAAAAATGTATCTACATATTTTTAAGATATGTATTTATTGAAAAGCTGTTTTAGACTCACATACAGATTTTTTGAAATCTTTTTAAATTGCACATATTTGAAATGTGCACTTTGGTAAGTTTTGACATACGTGCACTCCTGTGAAACCATTACCACAATCAAAAACCAAAAAACCAAACCCACTGCCATCAAGTTGATTCTGACTAGTAGTGACCCCTGTTGGGTCTCCAAGGCTGTAAATCTTATGGAAGTAGATTGCCTAATCTTCTTCCCGTGGAACACTATGTGGATTTGAACCACTACCCTTCTGCTTAGCAACCAAATGTCTTACCCATTATGCCACCAGAGCTCCTTCACCACAGTCAAAGTTGTGCCCATATCTGTAACCCTCCTAAAGTTTTCTCTTGCCTCTTTGTTATCCCCCCATCTGCCTCTCCTCAAACAACTACTGATTTGCTTTCTTTCAGATAGATTAGCTTTCTTTCAGATAGATTAGCTTACATTGTCTATAATTGTAGACAAGTGAAATCATGCAGTGTACTCTCTTTTTGGTCTGACTTTTTCACACAGTGTGATTATTTTGAAGTTCATACACGTATCTCATAGTTCATTCATTTTTATTGCTCAGTAGTATTCTAGTAATGGCCAATTCAGATTATTTTCATTTTGGAGATATTATAAATAAAGCTATTATGAATAGACACAGATTTTTAAAATTATGTATCACTTGGTGATAAATAAGATGAAAAGGGAGAAAATAAGTGAAACAAATTGGTTGATGTTGTTAAAACTTCTTCAAGTTCAGTGTGCAACTTTTTAAATCATTTTTTGACTCAAAATTATCAGTATACTTTTTTTTTTTTTAACCTAGTATCTCCTCTCTGCTATCGAGTTTTTTTTTGTTTTGTTTTTTGAAAAAAGGAAAGAAGTAAAAGCTTTTGAGCTGGACTTTTAAGCCAGCTCTGTTGTTTTATAGAACTAGCCTAATCTGGAAAGGAGGCTAGGTGGCACAACAGTTAAGTGCTCGACTGGTAACCAGAAAGTTGGCAGTTTGAACCCTCTCAACAGCACTACAGGAGAAAGACTCAGCAATACGCTCCTGTAAAGATCACAGCCTAGAAACCCCTATGGGGCAGTCCTGCTCTGTCACGTGGGGTCGCTCTGAGTTGAAAATCCACTCAAGGTCACCCAACAGCAACAACCAAAAAAAACCAAACTCACTGCTGTTGAGTCGGATCTGACTCATAGCAACCCCTCCTTGAGTTTCTGAGGCAGTATCACTACGAAAGTAGATTGCCTCATCTTCCTTCCGAAGAGTGGCTGGTAGATTTGAATGGCCAGCCTCTGGTTAGCAGTCCAATGCCTTAGGCACTACGCCAGCAGAGCTCCCAACAATAACAAACAATAGCTTATTCTGGATCTTCTTTTGGGATTGTTGCTAAACACATATGAGGCACACCCCCCCCACCACCACCCCCGCAGTCCCTCACCATGATAGTCTGGTTCCTAGGTTCTTTTCTACATTTGTCCCTGGGATTTTCTTACTCATCTCTGACCCAATCTGCTAGTTTTGAAGCTAGTGCTTTTGATGTTGTTGCATATTCAGGCAATGACAAGTACATCTAGGCTACTTCTGGGATAACAGTGATTATAGGACACCAATTGTAAGATGCATTTCAATCCCAGAATGTTAAATTGTAGGAAACTGTTCATGATGAAATCCATTAAATAGTAGTTCAGTCAGTTCATTTGATGCATAAGGGCCTGGTAGATTAAGATCAATGTCCAATGTCACACAATAATTAGAGGAAGCTGGGACTAGAACAAAGTGTTTATCATCCAGTTGGTTTCTCTGACTTTAGTGGGATGGGGGCTTCCCCCCCCCAACACACACACACACACACACACTGGTGTATAGCAGTTGACACTTAAAAGAAGGGGGGCTAATGGAAGGGAAAGAAAGTTACATTGTGTGGGAAAAGGATATCTAAGTAGACAACCAACTTGAACACTGTGAATAGTCAGATTAATAAGGGGAGGGGAACAGCATTTTAATAGCTCCTCAGTGGGCTGCCTGCTACCTACCAATCTCTTTTGTACCAATCCACTCTTCATTCTTATTATTTCAATTGCCTGATTTAAAAAAAGGAGTGTGTGTGGAGGGAAAACAGGTCTGCTCATATCATTTGTGACCTCATTTGCAACAGAATTAAGCCCAGATTCCTTGGCATGGTGTATAAGGAAGATCCTTCACAGATGTCCCTTCCTTGTCTTTGGTTCTTTCCTTTCTTCTCCTCTCCCATAAATCCAACCCTCTAGTCTTACCAAACTTTTGTTCACCAACATATCATGTACTTTCTTATCCTTGTACCTTTATATATGTTGTTCCCTTTTCCTGTGATGACTTGTCCCCACCCATGCCCATGATATGACCTCTTCCTTCAAAGCTCAGATGTAACCTCTTTTCCACAGTTTCCCCCTCAGAACTCTCCCTCCCTTCCAATGGTTATTTCCCTGTGTGTTTTCAAACCCAGTTCATGTGTGACTTCTGCTGTAACACTTACCATGTGGTATTACTGCATTTTACATGTCTGTCTTATTAAGCTGTAGTCTCCTTTGGAGATAAGTTCATATCTTGTTCATATTTGAATTCCCATTTCCCAGAATGGTGCCTGGATTTTGGTGACATAGTGCCTAAGGCATTTGACTGCTAACCAGAAGGCTGGCAGTTCAAACCCACCAGCCACTCCTCAGAAGGAAGGTTGAATAATCTGCTTCCATAGTGATACCGCTTTGGAAACCCAAGGAGGGGTCGCTATGAGTCGAATCTAACTTGATGGCAGTGAGTTTGGTTTTGGTTTAATGAGAAATACAGTCACTCTGGTGGTGTAGTGCCTAAGGCATTTGACTGCTAATCGGAAGGCTGGCAGTTCAAACCATCAGCCATTCCTTGGAAGGAAGACTGGGCAATTTACTTCTGTAGAGATACTGCCTCAAAAACCCAAAGGGAAGTCACTATGAGTCAGAATCAACTCAATAGCAAGGAGAATGACAAATACAGGGAGCTCTGGTGATGTAGTTGATAAGACATTTGCACTAACCAGAAGGTCAGCAGTTCAAACCCAGCAGCTAGCTGCTCTGTAGGAGGAAGATGAAGCAATCTACTGTAAAGGTGTATAGCCTTGAAACACCAATGGGTCATCCAGTGCGGGGTGGCCGTGGGTTTGGTTTGGTTTAATGAGAAACAGTCAATTAGGTGCATTATTATTTCCTGAATGCAGTATTATCTTTCTAGGGGAAATCTGTAAAATTCTCTGCAAGAAGGAAGGGATTGAGTAAAAGTTTCACTTTGGATGGAGATTTTGGAGTGAGATGGTATAGAAGAAGGGATTGGAAGGAGAATTGACTATAAGAAGAAAGAATTAGGGGGTATGCTTAAAGAAATCAAGAGGAAACAGAACTAGAAAAAGGATGGGCAATGAGGAAAGGAGAAAAGGGAAGAGAAAAATGGAGGGAATGATTATGTGGCCAGGAGTTTAGAATCTTTCTTGGTTTAATTATAGGAGAGTTACTGGACAATGCATTCTCACAAGGATTTTCCAAACTCTCTTTCCTGAATGAGTCCCATTTTGTATTCTTCACATACTCCCTCTCTGAAAAGACACAAGTATGCTTCTTACAACTGCCTTACAATTAGCACATTGTTCTTCACTGTTTTTCTATGGAAAGCCAGGGGAGCAGAGTAGTATGGTGGAAAGGCACTCACTACACTGGGAATCAAGGCCTGACACAGTTCCAGCTCTGTGACTTTCAGCAAGGCACTTGGCCACCTTCGCCTCAGAATCTTCATCTGCCCAAGCTTCCTGGCAGAATTGTTGTAAAGATCAAAATAAGGAGAATCACATATAGAAAACACTAAGCTGTCAGGTTGTTGGTATGCAAATGAAAGTACTATTACTTTTTAGTTGAACTCTTTCATCTAATAAACAGACTCCATTGACAGTTAGCATAGCCCTGTCTCTTATTAATAGGCCCTGTTTACAGCTCTAGTGGCATAGTGCCTAAGGCATTTGACTACTAGCCAGAAGGCTGGCGGTTCAAACCCACCAGCTACTGCTCGGAAGGAAGGATGGGCAATCTACTTCCGTAGTGATACCACCTTGGAAACCCAAGGAGGGGTTGCTATGAGTCGGATCTGACTCGACGGCAGTGTGTTGCATTGCGTTGCGTTGTTTACAGAAAGGAGATAACAGTGTTTCTTTCTTTTTAGTAGTATTTTGAAGTCTCAAGAAGCTAACCCATTTCAATGTTCACGGCCCATGAGAAAGGCATCTAAGAAGCCATGGCACTCCCTTTTCAAAAAGAGCTGGAGAAATACAAGAACATTGATGAAGATGAGCTTCTTGGCAAACTCTCAGAGGAGGAACTGAAGCAGTTGGAAAATGTTCTTGATGACCTAGATCCCGAGGTTAGTGATGTGGAATTGAAGCAGGGTGGTTAATGATAGTGCGGGATGAACGGTGGGGCCCAGTCCTTACACAATAGTGTCCACTGGTTCCAAGGGGAAATTCTGTGTTCTTCCACTGACTGATTCTGGGTCACTTACGTTTACAAGTTCATAGAGAACTTCAACAGCCACATCAACAATGTGATATGGCAAGTTTATCTTTCAAAAACCAATTTCATATAAACTGAGAAAAATATTTTTCATTGGTTGAAGAAAAGTTAGTCTGATGGAAAAAAGAAGGAAAGAGGGAAGGAAACAGTCTTACCAGGTTTCTTCTGAGTCATATACTCTGCTCAGTGTAGCAGCCCTTAAGGTAAATTGTATTATCCCCCTTTCATAAATGAGACAGATTCAGATAGGTAATTTATATAACATCCCATACTAGGAAATGTCAGAGATCTTTTTACATTTCATTTCTTCTGAATGCATGATGCTCTTGTTGGCTTCCATTGGCTCATCTCCTTGGTGTAGTGGATAAGGCATTTGGCTGCTCACCAGAAGGTCAGCGGTTCAAACCCACTAGCCGCTCTGCCGAAGGAAGATGGGGTGATCTACTTCTGTAAAGATTTACAGCCTCAGAAACCCAGTAGGGGTTGCTGTGAGTCAGAACTGATTTAATGGTAGTGAGTTCTTTTTTCTTTTTAATGGACAACAAGATCAGACCATTGTGATCAGTAGGGTTTTCATTAGCTAGTTTTCAGAAGTAGATTCCCAAGCACTTCTTCCTAGTCTGTCTTAATCTAGAAGCTTCGCTGAAACCTGTTCAGCATCACAGCAAAACCTAGGCCTCTACTGACAGACGAGTGGTGGCTACTCTTGAGGTACATTGTGCAGGAATTGAACCGGGGCCTCCCAGATGGAAGGCGAGAATTCTGCCACTCAGCTGTCACTGCCCTCATTTCAAATGCATAAATAACTTGAAATCTTTGGTGATCCTACAATAGTGGGTCGATTAGAATGACTGTAATAATAATACTAAGTAAATTAAAGTGGGCTTGTAATGTTTTTTTATGAGTTCTTAAAAAGCTAAGTAGTTTGTTATCTTGTTCATTTAGCAACTACTTTATTCAGCCCTGGTGATATTACCTTAATCTTAGAATTAGAAGTATCCCAAATAGTGATTTTACTATAAATTAAAATGTCACTAAAAGTAGAATTACTTATAGGATATTCTGATATGCCAGATACTTTGGATTTTCTATTCAAATTTACTTTAAAAAATATTAACCATTTTTTTTTTAATGTAGGGAAAGAATCTCAACACTTAATCCAAAAAAACCAAACCAAACTCACTGCCATTGAGTTAGATACAACTCATAGTGACCCCTCTTTGGGTTTCTGAGGCGGTATCACTACAGAAGTAGATTGCCCAATCTTCCTTCCAAGGAGTGGCTGGTGGGTTTGAACCACTAGCCTTCTGGTTAGCAGTCAAAGGCTTTAGGCACTATGCTACCAGAGCTTCCATACTTAATCCAGCAGGTGTTAATATTTACCACAATGTCACTTACCTGCTTGGCTGTTCCTCAGAAGAAAGGTTAGAAATAACTCTATTGGCAAAGTCCCTGGGTAGAGCAAATGGTTAAGCACTCAGCTACTAACCAGAAGATTTGGTGATTCAAGTACACACAGAGACTCCTTGGAAGAAAAGCCTGGCAACTTATTTTCAAAAGATCATAACCATTGAAAACCCTTTGGAGCACAGCTCTCTGCAATGCATGGGGTCACCAAAAGTCAGAATTGACTCAATGGCAACTGGTTACACATATTGGCTACTTATCAGAGTCTCCATATGCCTGCCTGGGAGCACCATGGGTACTGTACAAGCCAAACCTGAGTGTAGTCTACAAGGAAAGAGGCTGCAAAGAGTAGCTGGCTTTTTGCCACCAAATTCAAGAAGGCAGCTTCAGAAGACTCATAGGCTGCGCCAACTGTCCATGTTCTGCCTGAGACCCATGATAGCCCTCCTCTCATCACAAGATGGTAGAACAAGTAGTGACTTAGAAGTCTCATAGAGATGCCAGTCTTCATTTCACATCCATAAGTGACCCCAAGTAGAGATCCTTCTTGCTCTTTCTCCAATATACTTAAAATGTGGTGAGGGGGAGAAGTAACAAAGTATGAGTCAGACATACACCCTTCCTGTCCTGCATATAACTCTTGTCTTCTTAGAGCGCACTGCTGCCAGCTGGATTCCGGCAGAAAGATCAGACACAGAAAGCAGCCACTGGCCCATTTGACCGTGAGCACCTTCTCATGTACCTAGAGAAAGAGGCATTAGAACAAAAAGACAGGGAAGACTTTGTGCCCTTCACTGGGGAAAAAAAAGGTAAGGATCACATGTGGCACTCCTTGGGACAAAGCTACTCTTTATAAGTATTGTCATGGAGGGTCAAGCAAGGGAACTGACCTAGAAATGGGAAATAAATACTGGATTCAGTATAAAAAAAGAATCATGAAAGAATATGTAGTCTTACTAAAGAATACTTAGGGTATGATGATGGTTCTGTGGACATCTTGAACCTCAAATAAATGTTTTTGAAAGCATGACGTTGTGCTTTAAAGAACATTGACACTAGCATGTTTCTCTTAGCTATAATTTTCCAAGTGCACTGAAGGTCCCCTGAAGGCCTTTCTGCTCCATGTCTAGGAAGGCCCTGGTGCCAGATCTTTAACCTTACATGCTTGGATTAGAATCAGTGCAGTAATTACTTCATTCATCCAGCATTTATAGAACACCTTTTCTATGGAGAGTGCTAAAAAGGCAAGGAGGCCCCATGTTCTGACATCCTCTAACCCCACAAGAGGAAGACAGAATCACCATCAATAGCCCAATGCGTATTACTGCAAGGCCAGACATGCTGCCTCCCTCCAGCCCTTTTACCAACCGTTCCTCCCAAAGCACCCACCACCTCTCTCCTGAGTTCGATAATTCACTGCAGTGGCCACACAGAACTCACAGATTATGAGGTTTATTAGGGAAGCACCAGGCTACAATTAAAGTTCAGGAAAAATGCTCAGTCTCTCTCCCAGCACACTATCTCTCAGCCAACAGTTTCTCACAGCCTCTCTCCCAGCAGTGCGTGTCCCTCGGTGTTTTACTCAGCAATGTGTGTCTCTTGTGCCTCTTGTGTCTCTCAGGAGTGCGATCCTTCTCGGCAGTACATCCTTCTCACCCAGTAGACAGAGTTCTGCCTCTAGGAGGCCTCCTTTTGAGCCTGGCAAAATGGCCAAACTAACCAATCATAACATCAGAATTCTAAGCACCTGAGAGCCCAGAACATTGCTTTGTGCCATGCCCAACAGAAATAGCCCAGGTGGATAACTTTTACAATCAGGAGCTCCTCAGTTGCTCACAGCAAATTCTACCATGGAGTTTACAAAGACTTATGGCTAGAAAAGCCATACCAGGTAATTTACCACACTGCAGAGAGCCAAGTGCTGGGTGCTGGAACACAAGGGAATAAGACTTTGCCCTGCCCTTAAGGAGCTTTTGGTCTAGTGAGAGAAACACTGTGACAGAGCTGGGTATGGCTCTGGGGAGCAAGGGGCTGTTTCTACATCCCAGGACGAAGCTCAGAAGCAAGCAAGGAAAGCTGTCTTCCTTAGATTCTGACCCTGAGTTCCCCTATGGAAGAAGAATGGATATTAAAAGCTTGTGGAGGTTTCTCACATCCAGACAGTGGGCCTAAGTAATGGCATTGCTGATGACCTCATGGCAATGACAGTCTTTTTAAAACACAGATCAGGTTATGTCACTGTCCTGCTTAAAGTCCCAAATCTTGCTGATGGTTTCAAAGCCCTGTGAGATCCAGCCTCCATCCACCACTCTGACTTCATCTCTCCCTCCCTTGCTGTGTCTCAGCCCCACTACCTTCATTCAGTTCCCAAACCTGCTGAGTTCTTCCCATCTCAGGGTCTTTGTCACATGAACTCTTCCTTCTGACCCAAATCCCCATTTCTCATAGGGCTTCTATCTCATCCTTTAGGTCTCAGCTTAAATGTCAGGACCTCTGGCTTTCGCTGACCTTTCTGTCAAAAACAGACCCCCTCTTTCTATCATGACACTTATTGCTTTCATAGCACTGAATGACAATGTTCATTATTATGTTCATTTTCTTTGGTTTTTGTGTGTTTTCCAAATTAGACAGTGGTCTCCACCCAGGTAGAACTTTGTCTGTCTTGTATCCTTGCACAGGGGAGGTGCTCGATGTACATGGGTTTGGGCAAATGCCATCTCTGAGCTTCTGTGCTGCAACCATGAAGCAGGAGCACTGGCTTCTCAGTTGTCACGACTCAGAGCTCTGGTGCCATCTCTTACCTAACATCTCACTTCTCCTCTCAGTTGTGCATATTCAATGGACCGTGTAGCATGGAGAATGTAATTTTATTTAAAAAGCAAAGTTAAATGGTGACAAATTGGACAAATAACCAAGGATTACCATGGAAATATGGAGCTTTTTCTATGGCAGCATCATTGCTGTTGGACTAATTTAATTGTGAAAGAAAATAATTAAGAAATTATAATGTCAAATCTGCACTAAAACCCTGATTAGCATTGACTGTTGGGGTAATGACAAAATAATAAGGGGAAAGCTGTTGTTTTTGTACTCAAAATAGAGGTCTGTGGAGAAGCTATAAATCATCTCTTGATACTGATTCATCTATAGATAGACCATGGGGAGCTTTAGGAATCCAGGAGTTGTCTGAGTAATAAATGGGGATTGATAGGACCAGAGAGAGGAGCCAGGTACAGTGAGAGGTGATCATGACGTCTCTGGAGAAGAGGCCATACAACCTCTCATGAGTGCACTGTGCGTGAGACCCATCCTCCTGGGTTAGACTTAACTCTCCAATGCAGCTTTATCCACTTAGAACTTACTTTGTAGTTGGATCCGAAGAATGGATTCCCATCAGTCAGTCATTGCCCTGTATACTGATAGCTGCTGGGTCACCCTGGCACCAGTGTCAGTGTAATCCTAAACAGTACCAGGGAAGAGGAATTTAGTAATGCTATTTTGACTCTAGACCAAGGTCATCTGAACCAGAAATAAAATGCTGTCAGTACCATGGAAATTAAGTCTGGCAGGAGCCTCAGTGTCTGAGATGTTATTGATTGATTTTATTTTCCATTTTCTTTCTTCTGGACCTCTCTCCACTTTATATCCCAAGGTACTTTCTTTCTGTGTGGGAAATGTGGCATCTTATGTGATGCTGAAGCAGGAAGTGAGATGTATTCAATGGTAAAGTCCTTGTTGGCCAGGTGCCCTAGATTGACCATATGCAGTGGCCTCCTTCCATTCTTTAGGGATCCCATCTCTGGCTGGCCTCCATTTACTTACCCAACCGTTTGGAGACATGGTATACCATCAGGAAGTAAGCAGGGCAAATTACTGACTTTGGGTTTGACCTTTCCTTTCCCATGGGACTGGGATGGTCCAGGCTAGCCAAGGAGACCTGGAAAGAGCTTGAGTATCCCATCTGGTTGAAGCTGGAGTCTGCTGTCTGTTCTATCTAAGATGACAATGAGGAGAAGGCATTAGAGAAGTCTGTAGGGAACTCCAAAGATTGAAAATGTAGGAGACCAATTTCTAAGATCACGTCCAAGAAGTAAGAGCAGCTCCAAGAAAGAGAGAAAAAACAAGAGTCAAAAGCCGGGAGGGATTGGGAAAGAATATGAGTATTATGGTAATATGGGATGTTGCCTTGATGCCTCTGGAATATCCTGGTTCACCTTTATCAGCTGTTGCACAGGTAGAGTGTGGTGTGTTGGTCTGGCTGGAAGTGCGGAGCAGGTAACATGCCTTCTTCCCAGTGATGTGGTTCATCAGATGAGAAGTTTGGGCTGGGGAGGTAGGGCACAGATACCAGAATTTCAGAGTAAATAGGGGGCAAAACAAATGGAATCTAAGTGACAGACTGAAGTGAGAGGTGATGCCAGAGAATATGTATGTAGGAAACATGGAATGCCTTGCTGTTTGCGGACCTCTAGGCTCTGAATTTGACAACCCTTGTTTTTCCTTTCAGATCAGGCTTGTTGTGGTGTGCTCTGGGAGGTGGTTCTGTTCCCTCTAGGCTCGTGTAGACCCTAGAAGCAGGCCCAGGGATGTTAGGGCAGGGAATTAAAGGGCTAGGTGCCTCTGGAAGGAGGCCTGTGTTCTGCATAGGAATGTCTCTTTGTCTCCACGACTTCTCCCACAATGGACTGAATGAAGTAAAACTTTGTAAATTGCAAGGGCCCCTCTCGCCCAGGTCAAAGGGCAGTATTGCAATTGTAGGGAATAGAACCCACATTTTTTTCCTCTCTGTTTTAGGACTATAATCTCCTCAGATCTCTGGTGCAGAGAATGTAGGCCTCCTTCTCTGGATGTTCTGTCTAATACTGGATTATTGATACTGGCATCATTCCAGCAATTAAGGGACCCCAGCTGGATACTCACTGGCTTAATGATGTGGCTCTTAATGGCCAAAGCTATCTTCTCTGTTCATCTACTTACCCTAGCAAAAAGGCAGTAGCATACAACTGTTTTTATTTTTCTTCTGATTTAAAGGGAGAGTCTTTATCCCCAAAGAAAAGCCTGTAGAAACTCTCAAAGAAGAAAAAGTGACCCTTGACCCAGAATTGGAAGAAGCTTTGGCTAGCGCCTCCGACACTGAGCTGTATGATCTTGCAGGTTAGTCTTTGGCTCTGGGAAACGTTCCTTTCTGGCTTTGTGACCTCCAGTCATGTACTTGTACCCAAGTCAGGAGCCTTTGAGCTTCTCTACAACTATCGATCCTTATTAAAATTCAATGATGACTTTAGCCATTAAACCATTCCCATGGAGTCAGCTCTGACTCATGGCTAGCCCATGTGTGTCAGCATGGAACTGTGCTCCATGGGGTTTTGAAGAACTGATATTTTGGCAGTATATCCCCAGAGCTTTCTTCTGAGGTACCTCTGTGTGGACTGTAAGAATTTAAAGTAAAAAATAACCACTCTTATGCTTTATAAAGAGCTTTTACATTAGCATTTTATCCTCACAAAGTTTCCCTAAAACTCTTGCTCTTCCCCACAGTTGTCACTCATTTCAGTTTGATTGACACTAAGAGGTCTGTTAGTGTAACCATGAAATAGGGATAATTTATTGTCACCCCATAAGGTAAATCCCTATTCAGCCCAATCTGCTAATTTTTTTCTAGTTTTCTTAATAATAGCAACAAAACAGTAATTATTATTATTATTATTATGGAATTGATTATACATATAGATTGGAAAAAAAATAGTACAAAAGAATATATAATGAAAGGTAAGTTTTCTCACTTTAATTACCTAGGCCTTCTCCCATTTCCTGTATATCCTTTGAGAAAAATTCCATGCGTATACCAGCAGATTTGTGCATTCATATTTTCCTCCCAGGGGAATGCTTGCTTTGCCCTATCACAGGGATACCAGATCACTACAAGGATTAAGGTGCATTTAAAAACATTCCATAGCTTTAGCAAGAATTTCCACATTTTTATTCTATTTGAAGAAATACATAAAATAAACCTTCCTCCCAGGAGAACCAACTATGCTTTACTCTAATAGCATATGACCATCTTACCTACATTTTAATTCCTTCTGTTACATTGGTAGTCAATATTAAGTTCACATATTGGAGATCCTCTTCAGAGGTCACTTTGGGAGTTGAGAAACCTGGGCAGGTAGCGAAGAAGATGCTTTATAGTGGCTGGTTTTCTAAGTTTTGTGGTTATGGTGCCACCACCACCAATACACCTCAGTTGCCATCAAGTGGATTCTGACTCATGGTGATCCCATGTGTTTCAGAGTAGAACTGCACATAAGATTTTTCATGGTTGTGACGTTTTGGAAGCAGATCAACAAGTCTTTGTTCCAAGGAGCCTCTGGGTTAATTTGAACCACCACTCTTTCAGTTAATAAGCAAGTATTTAATTGTTTGTGCCACCCAGGGACTCTTAGTTACTGTGCAGGGATCCTGCTATGGTTATTGCTCCTCCAATGGTTGCCTCGTGGCCTCTACTAGAAGTAACCACAGGGAGAATGCAGGGTTGGGCTTGAATTTCTAGGAAATTGCTGGGAGAGAGAGAGAGAGAGAACAACACCAATAATTTACAAGGTCTGGTAGCATAGTCACTAAGGCACTTGACTGCTAACCAGAAGGCTGATGGTTCAAACCCACCAGCCACTCCTCGGAAGGAAGGTTGGGCAATCTGCTGTAGTGATACTGCCTCGGAAACCCAAGGAGGGGTTGCTATGAGTCGGGTCCAACTCGAGGGCACATAACAACAACAACAACAACTGGTGGCATAGTGCCTAAGGCATTTGACTGCTAACCAAAAGATTGGCGGTTCAAACCCACCAGCCACTCCTCAGAAGGAAGATTGGGCAATATACTTCCATAGAGATACCACCTCAGAAACCCAAGGAGGGGTCACTATGAGTCGGGTCCAACTCAACGGCAGTGAGTTTGGTTTTTTAGTTTTATTAAAACCAGAAATTCATACAGTTAAACCAGAGAAACAATCCCAATAGACAATTGCCACTTTTGTATGTGCTCAGTCTTTTTCCCTCATCAGGGTCTCCCTTGAAACACAGCAGGAAGCCAGGCTACAGTTGGCTACATCTTCTTGAGAGTGGATCTTTGAGGGAGATTTCAAGCAGTCCCATGAGTGGATGGACTGACAGCTGTTGAGGTTTAGATAAGAAAGAGTGCCAATGCATCACCCTTGTTATCATGACAGATAGAGGGCAGAAATAGAGACGTTTATCAAGGGAGTGGCAGTTGACCTTCAAGACAGAGCCTTCCAGACTGGCCATATCTTGATGTGGTCACCATTATCCAGAGACAAGCTTTGCTGGTCCAGAGATTTGATCTTGTCAGTGTATATATAGGAGCAATTAGATTAAGAGGGTAGAGGAAGCAAGGTAATAAATAGGGAATGACTCCACTAGCCAGATTTATAGGAAATTGTTGTTGTTATGTGCCTTAGCCACTGTGCTACCAGAGCTCCCTTATAGGAAATAGGTAAAACTTGGCAATGGGAGCCAAATTGTAATTGGGAGTTGCTTGGTATCAATGGAGCTGGAGCAAGACAAGATGGTCTCAATGGCCTGTATTTATCAAATAGGGCACCTTCTCCCTAGACAATGCCAGAGACATGCTGACAAATTCTTACTTTATTTACTTAACAAGAATTTATAAAGCACTGCAGTGGCTGGCACATAGAAATTCACTTAATCTTTGTAATAGGTAAAGTACAAACATTATCCCTATTTTACAAGATGAGGAAACTGAGGCTCAGAGGCATTTAGTAACTTCCCCGGACACACAGTTAGTACATAACAGAGTTAGGATTGACACTCGGCCATACTGATCACAAGTCCCACTTTTACTCCCCACCCTTGCTGGGTGTGTGCTCTTTCTTGTGCTGTACTAGCTGCCTTCCTCCTTCCTTCCAATATGTAGACCCCAATGTAGCCAATGAGGATCTCTTTCACCAGTTGACAGAATATTTTCTAGTCTGGGTTCCTTTTCCACATGGCCTGGTTCACCTGTAATTTCTGTGGCAAAGGGAAATCTGTGGGCAGTTACCATTTCAGTCTGCCCAGCTTTCCTCTCTCTTAGCGTTGCTTCCTGTAGTCTATGCTGCCTCCTGGTGTAATTGCCATGTAATACAAGAGACTAAAGTGTTCATGCGTATCTGGCTTTAAGGAGTCCTGGTGGAAGAGCAAGCAGTTTAGTGCTAGACCACTAGCCAAAAGGTCAGTGGTTTGAACCCACCAGCTGCTCCAGGAGAAGAAGATGAGGCAGTCTGCTTCCATAACGATTTAGAGGCTTGGGAACCTTATGGGGATGTTTTGCCCTATAGGGTCGCTATGAGTCGAGATCAACTCCATGGCAATACATTTGGTTTGGATTTTCATAACTGACCTTAACATTTCCTGATATCACCTATTTTATTTCCCACCGTGCACTACTCTAAATGGGGAAGAACAACTCCTCTTGGCCTGGAGAGTTGGGACAGATGGGAGCCTGACATTGAAAGTGGCTTTGAGCTTTCTCCTATTTGCAAGAAGTAATAATATCTGCAATGTTAGATTTGAAAATATTCTTAGACTCAGTCCCACCCTCTCATTTTACAGATGAGAAAACTGAGTGGTTGAATCTACTTAACTGGGAGGGCTAAGCAGGTTTTGTTGTTTCGTTTTTTTTTGCAATTTGGGGACATAATTAAATAACCTTAGTTTCTCAGATCCTAAATAGTTTCACAAGTGTAGACATAGCCATGTGAAGACTGCTGATGGTCTTGGAAAGAATGTATATATATATATGCTTATTTAATACTGTATATCTACCACACATTTTACAAGAAAAAGAGGTCTAGAAACTTCATCTTTATGAAACAGGGGTTTCAACTTTGTTCTTCAAGGGCAAATGAAGAGTGTGGAAATTCTAACATGCTTTCCTCATCTTAATGTTCATTCAGTGATTACCTTTGTTTTTAGCTGTTCTTGGAGTACACAATTTGCTCAACAATCCAAAGTTCGATGAAGAAACAGCCAGCACTAAAAGTGGCAAAGGGACTGTAAGAAGTAAGTTGATGTGGGATTTGTGATTTTGTAACACTTCTCAGCCTCCATGTGTTGCTGACCAGAGAATGGCCTGTTGGCAGGGCCTCCTGGTGAGTCCTGCAGGCTTTGAAGGTGGATTTTGTCAATTTACCACGGATCTTTGGGCTACAGCAACCAAACTAGAACAGAGTAGCTGATAACGTGACTCTGTCTGGCAGTGTAACTAGTTGTCCAGAACATACTCTCTTGATCGGTGCTTTCATTCAATAGATAAAATTGATTATAAAAAGATTTCAGTCAGCACAGAATGCACGTTCCTACAGATGTAGCTTAAATAAGTCCCCTCTCTATTCTAGGGTTGTTTTTGTTTGTTTGTTTTAATAATAGATGCTTGACATTAGAATTTGAAAACCGCTTTCCCCAGAGAGCATGAAAGACACATTAGCATGGACTTGCTGGCACAGAAAATTCCTGATCACTATCTCCTATGTCAACGTTTCTTTTTGAAATGTGCAGTTCATTCGATGCTCTCACTCACTCATGCGTCAGTCATCTATTAAAAACCTACTCTGTGTCAGTAATGTTCTAGGCTTTGGTACTAAAATAAAAGATGGTCCCTGCAAATCAAAACAACAATGAGGTACCATCTTGCCCCAGCACTAGTAGCAAAATTCAACAAGACAGAAAATAACAAATGCTGGTGAGGTTGTGGAGAGATTGGGACTCTCATACACTGCTGGTGGGACTGTAAAATGGTACAACCATTGTGGAAAGCAGTATGGCGATTCCTTCAAAAGTTGGAATTAGAAATACCATTTGACCCAGCCATCCCATTACTAAGTATATACCCTAAAGAAGTGAGAGCCATGACAAGAACAGATATATGCATGCCCATGTTCATCACAGCACTATTTACAATAGCCAAAAGATGGAAACAACCTAGATGTCCATCATTTGAGGAATGGATAACCAAACTATGGTACATACACACAATGGAATACTATGCAACACTAAAGAATAATGTAGAATCTGCAAAACACCGCATAACGTGGATGAACTTGGAGGACATTATGCTGAGTGAAATAAGTCAATCACAAAAGGACAAGTATTGTATTAGGTGGTTATTGTAAAAGTTAAGGAAAGGTTTTTCTATTTAAGGAAATTTTCTTTGTTCATTACCAGGGGTGGGAGGGGAGGGGAGGGAACGCTGTTAGTTAGATAGAGATAAATATTGATTTGGGTGAAGAGAAGGGCAATGTACCAAAGGTGAGTGACCAACATGGCAGCATTGAGGATGAGAAAGACAGAGAGGTACATGGGAAGTACAGACAACAAATATGAACCCTTTTGCATATACAGTACTGAGTTGTCAGTGAAGGCAAACATGGGTATATGGATGGATAGATAGGTGGACAGGCTAAACAATTAGTTATGTCTAAATGGGGAGTGTATTCAAGATCATATATAGGGTTGGCAGACAATGGTCCTGTAAGTTTATGTGAATGATCAGAATTCCCAGGTGTATAGTAGAACTGACAAGGGGAAAGGTTGTGGTCATTGCTTGGTCACAGCCAGCTACCCAGAGCGACCAAGTAGTTGATCCTGTGGGCTTGGGACCATAGTCGCAGGGGACATTGAGCTCAATTGGCATAACAATCTATACAAAACATTGTTCCACCTCCTACTTTGGCGAGTAGCGACTGGGATCTTAAAAGCTAGCAAGCTGCCATCTACATGCAACGATGGGTCTCTCCTCATCAAGAAGAAAGAAGAAAACCAGAATTAGTGGAAACAATCAGTCCTCGCGACTGGTACACCATCTGATCTGCAACCTGTACAAGTATGAGACCAGAAGAACTAGATGGTGCCCGGCTACCACTGTCATCCACTTGGAAGGGGTGTAGGAGATCCTGCATAGAGAGAGAACAATGTGGAACAAAACTCAAAATCATTTGGAGGCAAAAAAAAGAAGAAGGTGGGGACCAGGTTTGCTGGTCCAATAGAGCCTGGTGGAACCACTGAGACTATGGCCCCGAGCTGCCCTTCAGGTCTGAAATTGAACCCACACCTGTGGTTTCCAGCCAAACAAAGTATAGGCATGTGAGTAAACATTTACCTCAAGTAGACACATGCCCTGGAAAGAACAATCATGGGAGAAGGAAGGGCTGCTTATGCACAGAGAGAAAGCTCAAGGGTCAGGAGAGTATGGAGGGATGGACACTGGGAAGAGGTAACTATGGGGAGGAAGTGGGAGGGGAGCTGTTGCATTGTGGTAACTGGGGTCAATGACATGAGACAAAGTAATGTGAACTGCTGTATGGAAAGTGAATTTGCTCTGTAAATCTTCACCCAAATCAAAATAAAATAAAAAATAAAATAATAAAATAAAATCTTCTTTGGCCAGGAAAAAAAAAAAAAGATGGTCCCTGCATAAAAGGAGCTTATTTATTGGTCTGTTGGTCATAGGGACAGACTAATGCTCAGATCTCAGTACAGTGTTATCAAGGTAAGGAGCCTTGGTGCTGCAGTAGTGAAAATGCTTGGCTACTAACCAACAGGTCAACAGTTTGAACCCACCAGTTGCTCTGCAGGAGAAAGATGAAGCAATTTGTTCCCATAAAGATTACAGCCTTGTGAACCCACCCTATGTTGCAGTTCTGCTCTGTCCTGTAGGGTTGCTATGAGTCAGAATCGACTCAGCAGCAGTGGGTTTGGTTTTAGATTTGGTGAGCCAGATGCTCTGAGAACACACAGAGAATCAAAGCTTTTCTTATGTTAATTACATTTTATTCTCTATGATTGAGATTTGGGAGAGGCCTTCTAATTTCAGCAGCATCTTTATGAACCATCATTCATAGTGGATAATTCACATAGATAATAAACAACATTCCTTTTATTTTTTTCTTTCAAGTTTTTTATGTATTTATAGACTTACATAAATAGGATATAAGTATTCATCACAAGTAGCATATGCTTGTGGTAGAAAGAACAAACAATCTCTATCTTCTCCCAGTGCTGGTTGGTTATTACCAATTTTGTAATTTTTGGTCCCTTGACAGATGAAAGTTGCATATCCCTTTTAACTTCATTATCAAAAGGTAATAATTGGACTATTAACAAGTTTGCTATTAAAATTTTATGCATAACTTTCTGGACTTTTATACATACACACATATATACATATTTACTTTTTCCAAATTGTGAATGGACCTCTTATCAGTACGTGTAGGCTACCCTCATTCTTTTAATGAATACATAGTGTTTTATTATGTGATTATGCTATAATTTATTTAATCATTTTCACATTGACAGATATTTTACTTTAAAACATTTTAAATTAAATTTAGAAAGCAAAAATTATGTAATTGAATATACTTGAATACCTATCTTTATATATTCATACTTTTTTTTACTATAGGTTGGATTTCCAGATGTAAAATTTCTAGGTTATAGATAATGCACATTTAAAATTTTGATATATGGTGACATATTACTCTCTCCAAAAGTTTGCACCACTTTACATTCCCACCAACAAAATGTGAGGATGCTTTTTCCTCCACACTGTTGCCAAATCAAATCTCAAAGTTACCTCTTTTCACACTTTTCGCTAATTCAGTGGGGAGAGGTGGTATCTCAATGTTTGATTTCAGAGTTTAATTTTTATATTTTTTGGTTAAAGGGAAGAGTTTCTTCTGATTGTACCATTTGTTAATTTTTAATTGGGTTGTCGCTCACTGATTTGTAGGAGTTCCGTGTGTAGTGGGACATTAGCCCTTATCTGTTACATATGTTGCAGATATTTTCTGATAACTGCTTCTGAGAATTCTTCCATTCTTTTTTATTTCTTTTCTTTTTGTGGTCTTTTTCTCTTTCCTCCCTCAAAGCTAAAGATCTGAAATGGAAATCAGAGGAGGATGGGTATGATAGAGACCAGAAATTTGGGGAATAAAGAGACTCGTATGTTTTCTTTTTTGCATCTCAAGTCCCATTCCTGTCTGGTTGTTATAAGGAGAAGGAGGCCCATAAGCAGCAGCAGTAACTGCCATGAATGTTCTTGTTGGGATTGGAGGTTGCTGTGGAGCCTTTGGCACTTTTGGCTCCAGATACTGTCAGTCAGTGACACTTCTCACTGCAGCTGAGAAGCATCAGGCTTTCAAACTGTAACTTAGGTCCATAGTGCTCCTTCGTTTGATTAGAGAATAAAGCTTACTCTCATTGATATTAGAGTATTGTTGGCATCAAATATATAAAAGAATTGTCACTTTGGTGGAAGTCACCTTTGATTTCTATTGGAGAGCCCTTACCCCTTTCTAAAATTACCACTTGTGTTTTAGATGTGGTCAAAGGTGAAAAGGTCAAGCCAGTATTTGAGGAGCCACCTAATCCCACAAATGTGGAACTAAGTCTGCAGCAGATGAAAGCCAGTGATCCCAACCTACAAGAAGTCAACCTCAACAACATTAAGGTATTTCATTATGCTGATGATTGTTGGCAGTCGCTTGGTTTATCATGAGGTCAGAAAACTTACTTGAGATGACTGATTGCTTGCTTTCTTTTAGATCCACACATGCTGTGTATCTTTTGTAGTCCCTGATTTTGAAGCTAGGTGGTCTATTCAAAAGAAGAGGAAAGTTAAAATAATAGTTATTTCTAGAATTCTTTGAAAAGGATCACATTACTTCAGTTAAACATACTATAGTAGTCACCTTTTGCTGAGCAACAGATTCCTCCAACAATTAGAGACATAAAACAGCAAACACTTAGTGTCAGGTTTTTGAGCGTCAGGAATCTGGGAGTGACTTAGCTGGGTAGTTGTGTTGATTCCTTCCTTGTCGGTAGTCTTCCTGGATGTTCCTTGGCTTATGCATGACGCTCATGGTATCTGTCTTCCCTGGCGTGTGTGTCTCTGTGTCTATTCTGGCCTTATTATAACTCAAATTATTAGATTTAGGATCCACCAGTCCTATAGGTATGGTCTAATTAGCATAACAAAAGAAAACTCTATTTCCAAACAGGGTCATATTTAGAGACAGGAGTTAAAATTTCAACATATATTTTGGGGGGACAGAATTCAATTCATAACGACATCCTTTTCTCTAGTTCATACTAAAGGCTTTCATTTTCTTTCCTTTTAAATGGACTCTTATACCCTTAAAAGTGACTCTTTGTCCATGGAAGCTTTTAGAAAAGATTGCTAAGGAAATGACTTTGCTATAAGGGCTATCTATTATAGTTGACTGTCAAGGTTATTAAGTATAATATTCCTTATGCTTAAATCCTCAACTCTTGTTTTTCTTAAAGAACTTACTTGCATGTGTGATTTATTTATTTATTTATTTTAAGAAACTCAGGCATTTTCCATTTCACACTTTTAAATTTACTATAGAGTTTAATGTTACCATTTTATTATTAGTTTTTTTACCTTGTTTTCTTTGCTGCTTTGTGAAGACAACATCTTCAGTAACCAGTAACACGTACATTTCTTATTTCTTTCTCTATTATGATCTACGGCAAACCCTTTGGAACATAATGTTATTAAGAGGGGAGTTTAGATGATAGAATATATATTCTATTACAAAATTATTTGGGTATTTTACCATTGTGCTAAATACTGCTTTCATATGACTTGTCGGTTCTTATCTCTTCAGGACTTCACAGAGTTTAAACTGATATATTTGCTCTGTTAGTTTTCTTTTTATAGAAGTTTCTTTTCATAAAACAATTGGTTCATGATGCTTTAGTTCATCCATCTGCTAGTTCTTTCTTGCCCCTTTCTCAACACAGATTCTGTTCTTCTTCATATTCTGTCTCTAAAAAAGGCTTGCTCCAAAATTGTCTGCTGTGTAAAGGATGATGGTTATACTAACCCCTCAAACATTTGCCAGTGTATATTTTTAAACTAACAAGAGTTCTGTACCAAAAGAAGACATTATTATAGCAGGAATTATGTTATTCTTTCCCAATTCTTGACTGCTATCTTGTTGATTAATTAAATAACTGAAGTTTTAAAAAATAATATATAGGCATTTCTAATATTTGGTAATTTGGTGGATTTGCATTGATGTTATTAAAATAAGTCCCATTGTAGGATGCATGTTAATTATCATAAGAGGAAAAAATGATCCCACTTTCTACATCTAAAAACCCCAATGTTTCATAACAAGGATAGATGAGGATAAAAGAAAATAAAGGTTAGAAAAACAAAGATTTATATAATTTTTTTTGGTTTTTAAGTTTTAGCTCAGTTTTCTATTTCTAGATAGCTTTAGAAATTGGTTGTTTAGAACTCTAAAAAAAAAAAAATCTTCAGTGAAAAATATAAAGTTTATTCAATTGAATTGATTTTTGAGACTGGCCCAAATTATTTAGAACTATACATTTACTGAAAAGTAGAGCAGAGAAAGCTGCAGCATTGAATTGGACATAATATGATATTCAGCAGTGATAGTTAAAGTGTTTAACAATCATTATGGCAAGGGCACTGACCAGTCAGAATAGACCTAGGCCAAAAGGTTAGACCAGGTTCTGGAAACTCTCTGCCATGCCAGGCATTAACTCTTTAGTTGTTGGATCATGGGACGTCTGAGTGGTCCAGGAGATTGAAACATCAAGGGGTAGTCACTGAATGGTAGGGTAGAGGATCTCATGACAATGCTTTTTACTGTCTGCTTTGGAAATATTTTACTATTTTAACAGCTAGTACATCCATACCAGTGTATGGTTGTTGAAAACCAGTCCTGGTTATATATATATAACTTGGGTTTTATTCCCAGGGTAAAGTAAATTTAATCAGAGAAGGATGAAGATAAAGAATTTGAAACCTAGCTAGTTGTGGCCTCTCCCATAAACTTTCCTATGATTTTCCCAATCATGATTAAATTTTCCCCTCCTTTGTGCTTTCAAATGCATTTTGTACCTCAGGTGACACATACTACTAGGTATTAGAGCTTCTTATGTCTATATTCCCCCCAGACTGTAAAATATTAGAGGGTAGAGACTATATCTAGCCGAACACGGGGCCTTTCATGATAGGTAGTGTTGAATGACAGTAAATTTTGTATGAGACTTGGGAACATTTACAGACCTTCAAAGCTCATAGCTCCCCTTCTTTCTGTCTAATTTCAATTTAAATCAACAGTTTTCCTTTTCTCTACAAGAGTATAGCTAGCACTACTGTTAAGTTTATCAGAAACAGATCACATTTTACCTTGCCATGGAAATACGGAGAAAGGAGGAGAAACGGTACAAAAGGATTCTTCATAGATTAATGGCTAGAAGAAATATATTCATATATATAGGAAGCATTGCCTCATGTCAGTTTTGGCCTATTTCTTGCATCTAATTTCCTAGCTGACTTTATTGAGTACTCACTGTTTGTCATATCCTTTGCTAAATATTGACATGCAATATCTGATTTAATCCTTAATGAGACTTAAAGGGGTTATGTTGCCCTAGTTACAGAGCTAGTTTGTAGCACAGCTAGGACTCATGTCCAAGTCTAGCTGTCCCCATATTGCCTCTCATCCTGGTGGTTGACATTGTGCTAAGTGGTGTAGAAGAGGCAATACAAAGATAAGTAAGATTCGTTCAGTCTTTACTCTGAAAAACTTATATTAGCTTATTAACTTACATTACCACAGCATGGTGTGGTAAGCCCCCAAGTTGTTATGGAATTGTGGGCAAGGAAACTTTTAATGCTGCCTAGGAAAGGCAGAGATGATATTTCAGATGGATCTTGAAAGATGAGTAGGAATTAATTAGAGAAAAGGACAAAGGAAACCCAGGCAAAAGGAACACATATTTAAAGATCTGAGGAAGAGAAAGGTCATAGTGTTTTAAAAGAATAGCAAGTATGTCTGTATGATTTAGAAGATAGAACAAAAGAGGGAAGCAATGTGCATGAATAATTTCTTGGATAAAGAAACAAGAAAGGCAATGCCAGAGTATAACATTGTGTTAGATTCCCTTATTGGCCACTAAGCGGTGCTATAGCTCAGAATGGCTTAGTTGCTGGCTCTTTTAGAGGAGGGTATCAAGCTATTAGGAGCTCTGGTAGCATAGTGCCTAAGGCACTTGACTGCTAACCAGAAGGCTGGTGGTTCAAACCCACCAGCCACTCCTTGGAAGGAAGATTGGGCAATCTACTTCCATAGTGATACTGCCTCAGAAACCCAAGGAGGGGTCACTATGAGTTGGATCTGACTCGATGGCACATAACAACAACAACATCATGCTATTAGCCGTCTAGACATATGAATTATTTTAAAAGTCATGGGTCTTTAATTTGAGATAGAGGGACTGCAGACTGGACCCTCAACTTTCTGTGCCTTTCTCATCTTAGAACATCCCAATTCCAACCCTGAAGGAATTTGCAAAGGCTCTGGAGACCAACACTCATGTAAAGAAGTTCAGCCTGGCCGCAACCCGCAGCAACGACCCGGTGGCAATTGTGAGTAAGATTTAGAAGTATGTGGAAAAAAATTAAAAAGAAAGAAATACGTGAAGATACTTAATTCACTAGAAACTTTTTTTTAAAGGAACTATTTTTAATTTGTTTTATCAATGAATAATTTTAGATCTAGTAAATTTATTTTCTACATAGTTAATAAACTAAATTAGTTATAAAGAGACAGTAAAACTTTAGAACCCAACTGTCAGGTATTTCAAATTAATGATAATTTTATCAGCACTACCCTTTTAGGAGATGTAAAGATTAGATTAGGCATTTAGTTCATTAAATATTCAGGTTTTGTCCTACACTTAGTACAAATTTCCTAGAAATTTTGTATCTACAGTTACATTCAGTCATAGTCAGTGGCTATTATATTGACCCTGAAATCCTATAGGAACTTGGCACAGATATGAAATGTTAAAGTGTGTTTTATTTTCGTCTTTGAAATATAACTAAATTTTGAAAGATTTTTCTATTGACACTCGTTAGCCAGATATAAAAAAAATAATTACCCAAAAGCCCTATTCCTTCTAGGCATTTTAGATAATTCGGCCAAATAAGGAAACCCATTGGCCCGCGCAAATACTACTGCATTCACCATCACCGTGTTTTTCCTCCTGTTAATAGCTAACACTTCCTGAGGAATTAGTAAGAGCCAGCACTGAGCTGTGTGCTTTATATACATCATCTGACCTAATCCTCACTAATACAGTGAGATAGATATGACTAGTACTAACTAGTACTATAATTAGTACTATATTTAGTACTATAATTAGTAATAACTAGTACTAATACTAGAGCTCTGGTAGCATAGTGCCTAAAGCGCTTGACTGCTAACCAGAAGGCTGGTGGTTCAAACCCACCAGCTACTCCTCGGAAGGAAGATGGGGCAATCTACTTCCGTAGTGACACTGCCTCAGAAACCCAAGGAGGGGTTGCTATGAGTCGGGTCCGACTCGACGGCACATAACAACAACAACAAAAGTACTAATTCAAAGATCCCTGGTCACAAT